TTTTTGTTGTTTATTATTAGCAATGTTCTTCCGACGTCTGATTTCTTTTTAAAAAATGCGTTTCTAAAGTGCATAAACCTTTGGGATTGATTGTATAGCCAATACATCCTTAAAAAGATTATTTCAAATTAGTTACCAATATCGTCACTATCGTTATTTAAATTTAAAATAAATCGGACGAAAGACGAGAAATCTATAAAACGTGTACTTGACGCATAATAAAATTCTGGACTAGAGTCGTGCGCGGTATTGAATGACGTTTAAAACACAGCGGCCAAGAAATTTTATATTGAGAAAGAGCCAGCTGTTAGTTTTTCAAGCTGTCATTTTGTTTCACTGCGTGGACTATTTAAAGTAATTTAAAAGTTAAAAGTAATGTGTATCACTGTCATAATTTTGCATGTTCTGTACATATGCCCACGGTAGTGTTGAAATTTGCTACTACATACTCGTTTCACTGTAGCGTAGTAGTAGAAGTACTGATGGATTTTCGCATTGAAATTTTTAAGTAACGTTGTTTGGAAAATTACGACAATACGGTTGTAAAAGTATTGAGTACATTGCCTATGTCAGAAGTATAATTTACGATGTGTACAGCGTTGTACAATAGTCGTATTTCGTATTGAACGACACTAACTGATACGAATCTCTTCATTGAATTATACATTGTGTGCAACTTGTACGCTTTCAGGGTTAAAGCGTGTGATAATAATTCTCGAATCCATAAAAGTTTTCAAACGGCATAAAACTGTAAGTTTCTAACTGACTAAATAAACGAAGTACGAATTGAGTGGTGCAGAAAACGAAAAGAACTTTGTCTCTAATTTATTTCCTCCCCCCTTATCATAATCTAGATGCTCGTGAAATTTCATAGTTTATTAATAGAATCATCGATCAATCAGATTTACAATTTCTTGGAGCACTGCATTTATATTATTCATATGGCATTTAAAATAAAGATAAACGAACGTAATCAATTCTTATATGCCTAAAATACAGTGTTTATAATACCCTTATGGTTGTATTAGAAATTTTATGTGTACTGTATAACGTTGCGAGTTTCTTGCTTTTGTAAATCAAAGTTATATGAAGTAGTATACAAAATAAAAGCTAGTACGTATTTCGCGATACCTTTGTTCTCTATTTCGCTTCGCAAAGGGAAGGGTCTAATACGAATTTGTTTGATAAGCAAAAGAGAAACATTTACTATTTCCCATTTAAAATAATTACATAATCCCATTTAAACGTGTCTATAAAGTTCACATCGACAGACATACGCGTCACGTTTCGCATCAGTGAATGATCAGAAAATTGTGAACAGCGGATGTATACTGCATCAAATACCTAATTAAAAGTGAACCACGAAAAGTTTAACGTTACACATTCTTATAAAAAAAAAACTGGAGAAGTCGGAAAAACTTGTTCATAAAAGTGAGAGTCCGGAAAAAGGTTTATAGGATTGTATCACCCTCGTCGATGCCTAACATTTTTAAGTCATCCGGTCCTGGTTGAGTGTCCACCTCGGTGTCTGCCTGGGTGATCTCCGGTGGCGGTTGATCCATGTATTCTGGCCCGTAGCCAACGCATCCCAACATACTGTACATAGACGAATACATGATGTTGGCCTCCTGTTGGCTTTGCTGTTTCATTTCTGTCTCTTCTTTCGGGAATATGATATTTAAAGCCTCCTGCAGATCGTCGGGCAGAGGAATGCTGGGGTCGGATCGTTTCTCAGTGGGTTCTGGGATCTCGGAGATGTCTGGTGCAGCGTTTTCGACGGTCGGCAGCGGAGGCGGCGGTGCTTGACTCTGAACGAAAGTAGGGACCGCCGGTATCTGCGGCGGCGGGGTCGTCATGAAAGAGGGATGCGTTTGAACCGGACGTACCGATTGATGTGGAGCGAACCGTGTTTGAGTCTGAACGAATGGCGGTGGATTAGTTATAAATGATGGAGGTGGTCGGTTCGTTGGGAACTGCGGCCTGGTTTGCGCGGTTTCCTGTTGAGGCTGTGCCGAGAAAGAAGGGGGTGGTCTGTTCAAAGGTGGCGGAGGATGTGGAGGCAAAGGTAACTTCGATATACTCTGCGTCTGCTTCTGTTGCTCTATAATCGGCTCTTCTATTACCGTTTCCTCGACCTGATCTTCGATCTCCATATCGACTACCTGTTGAGTAGGTTTTGCTTCGTTTAACACAGGCGGTGGCGGGGCGACCAGTATCTTCATCTGTTGATTCTTATTTTGGGCAGGCGAAGTACTCGCATTACTACCGCCACTACTAGCCGTAGAAATAACGTTAGTACTATTGCTGGAGGCAATGTTGTTAGTGCCCAGATTTAGTGGAGTAGCTAATTTTGTGATATGCACCACACCCGGTGGATTTATAATTTCGTTCGGAACTTTTGGCGTATCTTCAAATTTACTTTGCTGATAAGGAAGCGGGGTAATGTCTTTTTCCGGTAATTTTGGTTCCTCAGTCTTTTTCTTGAACAGCGGCAATCGACCAATGAAAGGTAATTTACCTTTCGATACTTGAGGCGTTGACTTCTTCGACTGCACGTTTCCCTTCTTCGATTTCGAAGCGGATTCGTTTGTCTTCTTCTCGAATTTTGACTCATCGTTAGATGAATTATCCTCCCTTCTATCCTTTCCGTACTTCTCGTAACCCCTCTTTGGACTGTCGCGCCAGTTTCTTTCGCGTCGGGGCGACTCGTTGCTGTCCCGTTTCCTACGATCTTCGTAGTAATCTCTCTCGCGATCCCTGTCCCTGTCCCTATCCCTATCCCTGTCCCTGTCCCTATCCCTGTCCCTGTCCCGGTCACGATCCCGATCCCTGTCTCGTCCGCGTCGCCTGTCATATCTGCTGCTATAACGATCGTATTTGTCTTCCCTCCTGTCATACTTCCGATCACGATCGTCTTTGTATCTGTCGCTGTCCCGTTCCCTGTCATCCTCCTTTTCAATAGGTTTACTTTCAGGCGGTTTCACGATCATGTTGACTTGTTGTTTCGTCCAGAATCCCATATGAGGCTTAGGCATTTCCTCCGGTTTCGGTAACTCTATCGGCTTAGCCGCTACAGGTTGCGGCTTTTCCTCCTCCTTTTTTATCCAAAAGGGTTTCGGCGGTTCCTTCGGTCCCCACGGTTCTAAATTCTCCGGCTTCGGTTTATTCGAAAACGAGGATTGGACCTGTTCCTCTTCTTCTTCTTCTTCCTCAATAGTCTTCTCCTGACTCAGTCTACGGTTGCTAATAGATTTCATCTCCTCCTCTTGCTTCGCTTTCAACTTGTCTCTGATCGAGTTCAACAGTTGTCGTTCGTCGGTCTCCACCGGCTGAGGTTCCGGAGTCGCTGGCTGATTTATGTGCTGCGGCGTCACTTTTGGCCAATGGCCCTTCAATTTTATTCGATGGTAATCGATCTCCTCGTTGAGAATCGCTTGCGTCGATGCTTTCATCTTGTTTCGCATAGCAACGCGAATGCTCTTGGACATGTCTTGATCGGAATCGGTGTCGGAATTATCCGACTCGCTGGAACTGTCGCTGCCGCTGCTCCTGTTCCGTCGTTTCTTCGACTTCTTTTTACTTTTCTTCGATTTCTTTGACTTCTTCGATTTCGGCAGTGGATCATCGTCCTTGTGCTTCTGCAATTCCAATTGTATCTGCTTGTGCTTCTCCTCGGAGAACGCTTTCTCGCGATCCGCCATCCAATCGGTTTCCCAATGTGGGTTTTGCTCGACAAAATGCTGAATGCAAACGAGATAATCGATATGATCTAAGTCTCATCAAAGAGGGAAGAGGATGAAGTTTAATCAACTTACAGAATAATTCTCTTGATGCTGCTTGGATTTCAAGTGTAAGCTTGCACAGTGGAGATCGCCGATCCAGGAATCGCAAAGCTTGCAGTACCATGCCGTCGCAGCGCTAAAGAACTGCAACCCTATAAGCAAATAATTGAACTCTTAGCATCGCTTAAGCTTTGAAAATTGTAAACAATTTAAGTTCATAAAGAATGACCTTATATTCTGCCACGACACATTCATGTCACTGAAAACAAAAATAATATATTAAAAAGATGCTCAATGAATGGTAGCTAACGTTAAAATATTCTTTGGTAGTAGATTCCCACGTCGATTCTAGAAGAAAAGGGGCAGAGGGGAAAAATCGTTTTATTTATACAACTGTATCATAGAGATGTTACACAAGTAAAATAAAAATAATAAATTACATGAAACAACATACTGCAATTGCCTTTTTTCGAAATTCGCTGATAAATAAGATATAATAATCTGACATTTTTTTTCTGGACAATCATCGATAAGAGACTGGCATTCGCAATATGTTTCACAAAAGATATTTCAAAATTATTTATAAGATATGCCATAAAGATATTTGTAAGTATAATAAGTATCCCAAGTAATATAGGCGACACAAGAGATTATCACAATTTACACATTTTCATATAACTATATACGTTATTCGTATCTGTACACGCACCAGCATTATAACATTGTTTTCTATCGGCATGTATTTCACATTGTCAATAAAATCTTCCTTCGTGTTCATTCTTGAGAGCGAACCGACCTATATACGACGGACCGACGAACAATACACTTGCGAGGAATAATTTTAAATGGTTCGACTTATAGACAGACGCTGAAATATCTGAAATCGCTCGAAACCGTGCTCTTCGAGTCCATTTAAAATCCAGTGCATCTCTATGGTGATTACATCATTGCTATAAAATTTGCTGCCAACATTGCAATGCGGACAAATAGATCGCGGGAACAAAAAAGACTGCCCCGCGTTATGGTATCGCGTGAAGGATCGTAAAAACGGTACAATTTCCGCGATTAAAATTTCCGATATCCGTATATCGTACTTTTGCAAATTTAAAAAGAAAAAAAATAAAAACAACAGGAACAAGATATTTGTGCTTGCACGTAATCCGACTCTGCGAGTCGACGATACGTATGTTAACGCAGACAAATTTTTAAGCAAACCATAGCCGTAGATTTCTTCAATACATACCGGACACCACAGTGTCTGTGCACAAGCTACGGAATTGTATTCTATTAGTAATTATCCACTGAAATGAACCATACCTTTAATAGGCGTTCTTTTCGTCGGCAGTCCGGGATAATAGGGCACTTCCTTTTCCGTTCCCTCTCCATTCCGCTCATGCCACGGCATATCAACTATCTTGCGTTCCTATTAGAAGGAATTAAATGTTACGACAATGCTCCCTACAGAATTGTACGAATACTTGGTGGTACTTTTTTAATGAGAAATTGTTGTCGTTGGTACACCGACTCGACTATGTACCAAGTACCTGGGTGTCGATCATTACTGTAATATATCATCCATATACAAATATAGTTTCAAATTAGAAATATATATTTATATATATAGTCTTAACCGAATCCGTTTGTTCTCGGACAACGTAAAACAATTATCAGTAAGATATTTCTGCATCCTGTTCTAATGATTGCAATAAAAGTTATTCGTGAAGAACGATCTCCGTTTAGAAACCTCTACTACAGTTCAATTGCATTGACGGTACCTAGTATTGCACGGCCGGAGGAGTTTTACTAAGATTGTTATAATAATATTGCGACTTACTAAGCAAGCTTCTTTGTGTTCATTGCTATGCAGGTGATTCAAATATTCCTTTGCCGTTTTAGGAAATATATCGCAGACTTTACACCAATGCATTTCTGGATCGTAATGCACAAAATTGTACATAGGTTTAGAATCCTCGGGAGATCTTCGATCTTTTATGTCCCTTTCGATTTTCGAGTCCTTGTCAGAATCGGTGGCCGACGATCTATCGGGCGACTCTGATTTTCCCGTTGGGAAGTCTTCCTTGGGACTTCTCGAGCGTTTAATCTCTAACTTAAACTTGCTCTTAAGATCGTCGACGGTCGCTTTGTCCCCTATAATTCCGGTGAGCATGTCGATAACGTTATGTATCGACTTCATTTTGTTTTGTATTTCAATCTGGAAATTCAGAGATCAACGTACAATGAAACTCACAGATAAAACGATATTCGTTCTTCTTCTTTATTCGTTTATCAGCGATGACGTACCTGCAACTTTTGATTTTCTTTTACGATACGAGTATTCTCTCGTCCACCTTCTTTACCAATTTCATCGCATTGCTGACGCAAAATCTCCAGTTCGCGTTGTAACGTCGCCGATTTCTTAACGTATTCTTCCCGCTGTTTAGCCAAAGTCGCTTTCTGTTGCTTCACTTCAGCTGCGATTGCTGTTGGACATAAGAATGAAAAAGCATTGAAAAAGAATGATGATGATAGAATCTTCTAATCAAGACTAAAACACACCTTCCTTCTTAGCGTCTTCCGGTCTTGCCATAGACGATACCAGCCCGGAGGAACCACTGTCCACAGGTCTCGATGATTCTTGCTGTGACGTTAATGTGGGAGGAGGTGGTGGCTGCTGATTGTTATAAGGTACCTGATTCCCTTGCCAATTTGGTGGTGGATAATCCTAACAAAGTAAAAACACGTTTGATGTCAAATGGTTAAACAATATTTTTATCGAACCTTACCTTTATCTCTCCATATTCAAATCAGAACTTTGGATAATACACGGAAGATTCTTGAAGATCAGTCAATAATACTGGTTTCCAATGTCGATGCCAATAAAATAAACAACGCGTGCGTTATACTTACGAGCGGAATCACAATAATTCGCGGCGAAAAAGAACAGAATGTTCATTGCCAAAAAATTAGCACAACACTACCAAATAATATTAAAAAACACTTTGGTAGTTCGTCTAACGATTTCATAGTTAATTTCGCGAATTCATAGAATGCGATCGGACCTATGAATAGGCGAAATAATAAGATTCATTTATATCGTATCTCGGTCGCAACACAATCTTCGTTCCAGGGTTGCAGATGTTTTAATTGTAGCGTCAACAATTAACGATTAAATTTCTTTAAATATCAATCCGAATCAAAAACCAGACGTTCATTACCAAATGGCGTTCAATTGAATTAAAGAATTAATCATTTACCCGCAACCCTGCTCCATTCACGGTCAGTAGAACAAATATCATTTCCATACAACATACTCCTCTTAGTCAGTATACTTTTTTTAAAAAAAACTTACACTGCGATAACCAGTGGGTTGCTGATAACTGTAGTCATAGCCTTGCCCATAATTATAGTTGTAGTTATTGTATCCTTGGTTGTAAGTTGGCAAAGGTGGTGGTGGTTGACTGGTGTTTGGAGGTGGAGGTGCCTAGAGAACCAATAACGTTGTAATGTGTAATGTATGAAATTGTTCATGCTATCTTCCTTCCTCCATTTTTGCCCATCTTCGATTGTACCTGGTATTGATTGTGAACTGCAGAAACGTAAGTCCCAGGATTACTTGGATTAGGAGTAGATCCCTGAGTCTGAGCAGCAGCTTGCTGTTTCCAATCGGTCGAACGGGTAGAATCCTTTCTTCTTCTGTCCCTGGAACTGGAACGCGATCTTCTATCTCTAGAACGAGACCTACGGTATCTGGCTCTTCTTGGCGATGGAGATCTATCATACTTTCTAGACCTCCTTGCCCTATGCGATGAATCCTCCGAGTCCGCACTAGGACTCCTCGGTCCTTTACGCCTCGGATCCGCCTCCATCCTCCTACAATTCTAATCTGAAAAGAATGCAAACGTGACGCCACGTGATCAATGGAATCAAGTTGACGTGAATTAAGTTCTTTATTCGGTGACAGATAACACGCGGAATGTACACTGATGCGAGAACGCGCGATACAATTTTAATAACTATAACGAACATTGTGACCTGAACGAAATTCTACGACGGCCGGGTGCGTCGTGAAACCCGATAATTTTAATCACTACGCGTGCGAGGGCAAGAAAGAAATTATTTTAAATGTCGCATTGCAGCCATTGTTATCCTATCGATAAAACATCGGTCATCTCTCGCGGCATGCCGAACGCTTCGCTTTAGATATTTACCTTCGCCAATAATCGGATCGCGTATCTAATAATACTCCGTCTTCGATAATCGGGTGTGGAAAATAATGAAAATAATGTGTTATAATTCGTTTACGAATCATACATCCAACGTGACGTAACGTGTAGACATAGACCCAGAAAAGTCCGAAAACGAATGGAAGAAGCCGCTACGAACTAAGCTACTATAGGCAGAATGCATGGAAGTCAAGAGTTTTAGATGGCGGTACTCAACGCTCGCTTGTTAACTATAATAAAATTAATAAAATAAAAATAAGAAATTAATATCTGGTTCCACGCAATCGATAGCAATCATCCCGATGAGACGCTGAGCAGTTTGTTAAAAATATCTGGATCTGCGGTAGCATATTTGTTCCTTTATTTGACTATACTGCACACTGGCGTTTCGGAAAATATAGCAATCCTGCAGACGTTATTAGAAACATGTGGTTCGTGGCTCAGTAAAAATTAAGTTTTATGGTAGAGTTTTATAAACATTTTTTACAATACAAGTCAGATCAGACGCGTCTGCATCACGTACAAAATCGTGCGCCAGAGGCACAAAAGCTGGATAGTTATCCGTTTAGAAATAGTAGGTAAAGGATAGGAAAATTGTTGGAATAAGGTGAAAAATGGCATTAATTAGAAGAGCAACTCACGCTGGTAGTTGGTACGCAGGCTCTGGTAAGTGTCATGAATGCTATTTAAATTATTTTCTCAGGCTTACTCCGCGTTTTAATAACGTTCGTAATTAATTAACTTCTTCGATTCTCTTTCGTTTTGTCTACGCGCAGACTGTCACTATTACATATGTTGACAAATAACCGTTAAATGTTGACAAATATTGTACATCGAGAATTTCATATTTTCTAATGTAATGTCAGGTTAATTCTCCAATAAATTATTCGAATTCCTTTCCGTTTCTTATCTACGTTAACGAAATACATTACTGTTATCTATGTTTGAGCGAATCACTATGTAATATTATGTTTTACATAGGTATGGAATTAAATAAGCAATTAGAAGGGTGGTTGGGGGCTGCAGACTTATCACATGGACCTGCTAGAGGAATTATTGCCCCGTCAGTAATTATGCTACTTTAGAATAATACTCAGTTAAATTAAAAAACGATATTTATTGAAATATGAACGAAATTTCGCAGACATGCGGGTTACAACTATTGCGGAGCATGTGCTGGTTTTGCATATCGTCAGATCAGTCCTGTAGTCGTGTAAGTTCCCTTCTGCGATTCGATGATGTAACAATGTTTAAAACGTACTTTTAACGCGGTAGTTTAAAAATGTGATTGGATTATTATCATGTAGGCGCAGAATTTTTATTCTCGGCCCATCTCACCATGTAAGATTAGCAGGCTGTGCTCTCTCCTCGGCTCCAATTTATCAAACTCCATTGTATGATCTACATATTGACCAACAAGGTATAAATAGTGATGACGCGGATCACGTTCAAATTTTATTTGCCTATTTTCATATTCAGCCGATGGTTATTTGAGTTTTATAATCGAATTATAAGTATGTATTGTACATGATAGTATACAGAGAGTTGGAAGAGACTGGACACTTCGGATGGATGGATTTGAACGCAGACGAAGAAGAGCATAGCATTGAAATGCAATTGCCGTACATTGCGAAAGTGATGGAGGGGTACGTTCACTGTTGTTAGGAATATAGGATGATAACGTTGATAAGAACTCCATTGAAAATTTTATTTGAATTCAGTTTTAAAGACTCTTTCACGATTGTTCCCATACTGGTTGGTTCGTTAAGCCCTGAAAGGGAAGCGCTATATGGGAGAATATTAGCACCTTATGTAGCAGATCCACAGACGTTATTTGTTATATCATCGGATTTCTGTCATTGGGGACAGCGTTTTCGTTACACTTATTACGATAGATCATGCCCCATTCACAGATCTATTCAGAACCTTGATAAAATGGTACTAGTTTAAACAATCTTTCGATTCCTCGCCATAGGCATATCCGATTAAACAGATTTTGTGTAATTCTGATTCGCAGGGTATGGACATTATAGAAACGTTGAATCCAACGATGTTTACTGATTATCTTAAAAAATATGGTAACACGATATGTGGCCGGCATCCTATTAGCGTCTTTCTACAGGTAATACATTTTATTCATTTATATTTGTAGCTTTTACGCAGGTGAAGCGTTCGTCGGCATGTTAGTTCTCTCTTCATCATGAACTGTGTATTTCAACAGGCACTGCATAGTTTAAAAGGGAACAGTAACGGCCAAAGAATGAACTTGAAGTTTCTGAAATATGTTCAAAGTAATCAGTGCAATAACATGAATGATAGTTCCGTTAGTTACGCCAGTGCTTCCTTGGTTCTCGAGTGATAACGTGTAAGCGGTCGTTTGAAATATTATTGTCATTCAGAGGATTCTAAAGGAGAAATACTAAAAAACGGCAGTAATAACGTATCCTAAAGTCGTATCAATTACGATCCTTTTTTTTGCCTTGTATTTAAACGAGAAACAACGGGACTCCGGAGTTGCGATCCATTGTACCATGTGAAGTTATCTCAGATATTTGGGGAGAAAGAAATATATTAATATTTGTAATGAATGTGATGGAGTAGAAGTGCATTATTGTCACAATTAATTGCTTGAAAAAGAAAAAGAAAAAAAACACGAGATATATTTCGGTTTATTACTTACGAGAAATAATCAGTACTTCCAAATTTTCATTACGGAAGGAGCTTAAGTATTTCTTTGCTTTGATCAGTTAACGGAAATAATACTATACAAAGTGCATTTCATATATATGTATACTAAGAAGATAGCAGAAGGTTCAATCTATTGATGATAAAAGGGAAGGAAAAAAGTATTTAATTAACGACTTTCTAACAGCTTTAAAGACTATGATAAGTAACGAAAAGAAGTATTTAACGTCGGCGTTATTAGAGAGGCATGTTCACGGAAGCAAGAAAGTTAACTATAGCGTTTTCATTTGTGAACGTTCAATTGTGATTTAAACCTAAGAAATATTAATATATTCGATAAATCTGTGAATGGTCAATCACGAATTGAAATCATGAGATTATTATTTATTACACTTGGAATTTTAGCGGCCAGCATAATTTACTGACTTGGACGAACGGTATCAGGCGTTTATTTCCGATTGCTAGGACAATAAAACGTTAAGAAAAGTAAATAACGAGTAGGGGACACTTTCTCACAAATTGCATTATTTATCTCAGGGATAATACGTAAGCTTAAAGCTAAAATACCTAGGACTAAAGTATCTCTTCTAGGTCATTAGAATGAACACTCTGCGCTGATCGATGTCGAGCGAAACATTGCGGATAAATAGCGTACAACTTAATCACCGTTCTTTTTTTTTAAAACAAAGCAATGAAATGATCTCATATCCTTCCTACCATAATACTACTACTATCTTGTTAGTCCTTGTTAGCCTAAGGAATTATAAACAAATATTGTACTATTGCAATATCACAACAATTAAATGTGAAGAAGGATCAGTGTGGAGGAACGATCGCCGATATTATTTCGTTTTTAACCGAGTACTGCCATTCGACTAAATCATCCGCAATTAAACGAACTAACATGATTCGATCCGAACAATTCCATCTGTTGTTATTAATATTTTCACATAATTTGTCCGTAGCGTCTATATGATAAAACTGATCCTTCGAGTATTAATTTTTTTATCCATGTATAATTAAATCGATAAGATTTGCATTTGTGTGTATGAGAAATATAAAACAATCCATATATATTGTTTTCATAGTCTCGTAATAAAATACGTATATACGTCCATACATATGTACAATATGTATATAGATACGTATGGATTACGAGTATATACGTACGAAAAATTTATATGCACCTGAGAAAAAAAATAAATACTTAAAAATTTTAAACATCTCTTTAATCATAGTACTTTTTTAATTATTAAAACAACTTTATACACGCATATGTATATATGGTAATAAAATAATATTAAATTTTATTAAAATACTCTTTACATTTACTTGTCGTTTAGAGAACAACGTAACAACCGAACTTACTTAAGGTATCACATTTAATTTTATGTTGTATTGCTGATCCAGTCCCATGTAACAATCGGACATCAAACGAAACGTCAGATTGGCCGATCCTTAAACATTCGATCATTGTAAAGAGAAGGAATACATCGAAGAGAGAATAAATGCGAATGTAGTTACCTAGCGTCGACGGAGCCGTGAATTGCAATGGATGCGATTTGTAATGATCGTGAACACCAGCTGCTCGTTTCATAGCCAACAATTCGGTTGAATTGCCCAAAACTAAGAACCAACCCTCGTCCTTTCCTTTTTGAAACATAGGACAGTGCGCTTTCAAACCGCAGTTAGATCTGTTCTTTCTTCTCATTCCGACGTTCAGTATGTAATCTTGATCTTTATGGACATTCACAACGTCGGTACACTTGGGACTCAACGACACAAATTGTTTTGCCTGTTCCTCATCGTAGCTTTCAACGTGTAACTCGAGGCAGAGGACTGGCATTTCTTTTAATACCATATGCATCTAAAATACAGCGTGTTTCATTCGTCTTGATAAGCTTTTTCTCAAATTTAATTACCTGATGTATTTCTTCTTCTCGGAATTCTTTACCTAATATTTTTGTAAACATATTATATTTGTTTGGAATAATAGAGCATAATTTTGGTAGATATAGCGACAAGCTTTCGAACAATGGTAAATGTTCCGAATTGACGTGCGGCAACGTAATAAGCGGAGACTCGTGAATCCATCGAGCTTGGATGATCATCTGAAGTAAATTTATAATCATTAACGTGCTCGCCAACCATCCGTGTTCCGCGACTATGTCTATCATTGCCTAAAAATTAACACATGAATTATTATTATTATTATTATTATTATTATTATTATTACAAAGTGCAAATTTTAAATTCGTACTTGAATAATTCTGATCGCCTGGTCGAGGACCGATTTTAAATCAGTTAAATAATCCACGCACGGCATGGGAAGCCTTGAAAAATGTGCCTGCAGTAATAAGAACGTTTTGGTGTGCGGAGAACTGTAGGAATAATCTTCTACCTTGTACAGACACATCTTGCTCAGTTCCCTGTAGAGCAATTAAACACATTCAGTTTTGGAACAGATTCTCTGTTTCGTAAAAATGATACTTTACTCGTTCAAAAACTCTTCGTCGTGTCTCACTGGTAATTCATCGTACTCGTGAGAATTACACAAGATACGTAAGCATTGCTCCAGCGTGAGAGACTCATTCATCGATTGCTCGAAGATGGACATAGTGCGATACGACAGATAATAGAACGACGCTATCTGACCCATTGGAAGTGGGTACAAAATTTGGTCTTCCTGAAATCAATCGAAAGTATTCGAAATTATGACGTAACGACAAATTAATCGAAGGAAAATTGTATTATAGTCGATATACCTCCACGTAATCGACGCAATGCGAGTCTATTAAGACCTTCAACGTCCCGTCCACCAGATATGACAAATATTGATTAACCGTGTGAGGTTCCAAGGCACTTAGATTATAGTATCCCGGATTTTTCAACAGCCTTCTAAAGAAGTAAGTCCACGTTAAATAATCCAACAGCTCTTGCTTGTTCTTAATCGTGCCGGACACAACCTCGGCATTTATGTGGTCAGGCAAGACTTCTAGCAAACTCGATTCCACCGGGAACGGTTCGTGTAGGAATTTCTTATAAAACTCTTTCTTCAGATCGTGTACCAAGATCACCGCCACCCCGGAAGTATCGAACTGAGGCCTGCCGGCACGACCCATCATTTGAAGCACGTCTGTGATCGGCATGTCTACGTAACGATGTTGTTTCCCATCGAAATACTCTGTGCCTTTTATGACGACCAAGTGGGCAGGGAAGTTCACGCCCCAGGCCAAAGTAGCAGTCGTGATCAACACCTGAACGTTATTTTAATTGAAATAAAAAGTAGAACTACTTAGCGCGCGAACATACCTGTATTTTATTATTAACGAATAGTTCTTCAACAGTTCGCCTATCTCTCTCTTGAAGACCGGCGTGATGAAGACCAATTCCAAAGGCCAATGTTAGCTTCAAATTCGTATCTTTTATATGATCTAGGATGCTGCACATCTCATCGTCAGGCATGTTCAGCCACTGTTTAGGATTATCTTCAGCCGCGAGATATGCGATCAAGTCCAGCGCCGTTAAACGGGTTTGTCTTCGCGAAGAAACGAATACTAGAGACGGGCTGTCTGGCGCGTGTTGTCTAATAGCCTGGAAAGTCGGCCTGTTCATCGTGGCCATACGGGGGCAATAATTCTTCCCTGGGAACCCGTCTATGTGAATTTCCAGCGGTACAGGTCGTACAGACGGACGGAAATTATACATGCCCATTTCCCCGATGCCGAGCCAGTGAGCCAGATCCACAGCGTTTGCCAGCGCCGTGGAAAGACCTACGATTCTTATTTTCCTCGTCGTATGAGAGGAAATAAAATTAGTTCGCGAGATGATGACTTCTAACACTGGACCGCGATCCTCCCCTAACAAATGAATCTCATCTATGATGATGAGTGAAACGTTTTTCACGTAATTCCTCGTTTGCCAACTCCTACTGATACCGTCCCATTTTTCAGGAGTAGTCACGATCACGCTGGCGCTTGCTATAACTTTGATATCAGGCGACACGTCGCCAGTTAATTCGACCACTTTCTTTCCCAATCTCTCCTCGAGCCTAACTTTCCAGTCCTTTATCCGTTCTCGGACTAGAGCTTTCAATGGCGCGATGTATACAATCTTCTGCGTCGGGTATTGCTTGAATACTCTAAACATAGCGATCTCAGCGGCAATCGTCTTCCCTGATCCAGTCGGAGCTCCTAGAAGTACGTTATTGTCCGTGTGGTACAGACAGTGAAATATCTGCGTTTGTATTGGATTGAAATGAGTGAATCGGTATAGGCGTTCGAATGCTGGTTCCTTCAATGCTTTCACTGGTAAAGGTTGCAACTTTAACAAGTCGGTATGCGGTGGGTACATCTCGGGCAGGATCAGATCGTGAAAAGTTAAAGGTAGCGTGTATTCGCAGCCTAGCCAGCGGTCGCTCACTGCTCTGACTATGTACTGAGAGGGCAAAGGTTCCTGGAGCGGAATAGTCATCACCAGTTCCTCTTCAAAATTACCATACACCATCTTCCTCGTCATCATAAAGTATTCGTGATGGTATATCATATTACTTTCTGGATCTTCTATCCATATCCAAAACGGTTCCGAGGTTTTACCGTGGACTTTGTCGTTCCATTGAAACTGAGGGTATATCTTCAAACGTATTCTTAAAACTGTCCGAGTGATAGGCTGCAGAGTGGAGTCCATCTCTAACGCCGGTAGCTCGTCGCAACATTTCTGCACCAGCAACGCCGTTTTCAGACTGACCCGTAAAACGTCTGCAAGTTCTTTGGCAGTCATGTCGTTCAATCTGTCAATGGTCAGGTCGTGATCATCGATCTTATCCACGACTTCTTGAGGTAGACATGTGAACTGGCGGAGAGGACTGTTCCAGTTCCATTGCTGCAGCTCGATCATCTTCGCTATTTCTAATAAACGGCCAGTCATTAACGCGTTGTTCAGACCTAACATGATTTGGAACAGCGCCCGAGATATGCGTACTGCGTTTTGTACGATGTACGTTTGATCCGACATCAAGGAGAAGCTGTTCACATGGCCATGTGACAAGTAAGTCTGCAGCAGAATGTTCACTTTGCCGTGTATGTTCTCTTTACCGCCTTTGACCGTGAGCTCGCAATTCGAACATAGATCATCCAGCTCGTTCATCTCATCTTCTCTTACTTTCAGCTGTTCAAACTCCTGGGACTGAGATATCATCGCGAATATCTCGCTCTCCATCATTATAGGCTTCCTAAGTTCATTGAACAATTTAATAGTATCGTACTTAAGATAAAAGTGGCTCGCGATACGTCCTAAATTCGTTGCACTCAGATCTCCAGTAGCTTTCGAGTAACGAATCATTTTGGCTTCGTCCAACGCCATAGCTGCCCCATCGATGAGTTCCCTCCTCTTTTGCTCCAGGTTCGGATCGTCCATAATGACTTTATAGGGAATTCCATAGACATCGTGGTTCAGTTTCATTCGTACGAACAAATAGGTGTAACTTAGCCACTTGACAGCTTCCTCCACGTTCGATATCGTGCCCAACGCGATCTCGGCGTTCAGATTGTCAGCCAAGCATTTAATGAAGCTACTTTCGATGGGTATTTGATTCGTTAACAATCTCAGGTAATGAGACAGTTTGTCATAAGCAGTAATAATGACAGCGTAACCGGACGAGTCGAATTGTGGTCTACCGGCTCGGCCAAAGATCTGCAGGACATCCAATATACCCAAGTCGATGAACGAGCCATGCTTCGAATCGTATATCTCCGTTCCTCTGATAATAACAGCATGCGCCGGCAAATTTACACCCCAAGCCAGCGTCGACGTGCAGACCAGTACTTTGATCAAACCATCGGCGAAGTATTTCTCTACCATGTTCCTTTCTGAACGTAACAGGCCAGCATGATGCACGGACAATCCGCTGTTGAACAATTCCATCAGATCTCTATTACGCGATTTAGCGAACGGCTTGTGTGTGCATTTCAGGGTAGGTATAAATGACTTGATCGTGCCCTGCTTGCTCGCCATATCTCTCAATACCTTTGCTACCCTGACAGTCGCGTTCCGCGCGTGCACGAACACCATCACTTGATGTCCCTGGCGCAAATTCTCTATAACGTTATCGTAACACACCTGGTCCATGTAGCTTATCTCTTGCATAGGCGACGAAGCTTTGACGCCGATGAACGTTTGGCTGAGAGGCACCGGTCGAAATTGGTGATCGAAATAGAAGAGTCCTTTCTCAGGATTTACTCTTAGGAAAGTTGCGACGTCCACGTAATTAGGCAGAGTCGCGGAGAGTCCAACGATTCTGATCATACTTTGCGACGATTCCACTTGTCTCAGGGTTCGGGCGACCAGTGCCTCGACCACGGGTCCTCTGTCGCCGTGCAGAAGGTGTACCTCGTCGATTATTAATAGTTTCACGATACTGGTAAGGGAGATGTCCCCTGTCCCTTTCCTGGTGACGACGTCCCACTTTTCTGGAGTAGTGACTATCATCTGCGTTTGCTGAATCTCAGATTTAGTCAACTGCATGTCTCCGGTGAGTTCGCGGACGCATATACCGAGGCATTGAAGTCTCTTGCCAAAATTCGCAGTCATTTCGGCTGCCAGAGCCTTCATCGGCGCTACGTAAATTATTTTAAATTGATTTTTCATTAACTCTCCATGCTCCATGTGCTGTTTCAATTGATGAATCACGGTCAACATCGCGATGTTAGTCTTCCCGGCGCCTGTTGGGGCGCAGATCAGCAAGTTCTCGTTGGTATTGTATGCCGCGTTGAACACTATACTTTGTATGCGATTCAGCGACTCGACACCGGAGAAAGCCTGCCGCCCGATGTCGTCTAACGAAGACACTTTGACAGGTGTGTAATTTACGCTCACTGGCTGGACCTCCGGGGCCGGTATGTGAACCTTCTCATACATTTGCGTGTTCTCCCTCTTAGCGTTCTCCGGTAGCATCATCTTCTGTTGCGATACAAAACCGCTTGTACCTCTACCGCCCGAAATCGAATCAAACACAAACGGATACTTCACTCTTCCCGCGACAGGACTCTCTCTAAATATAGGCGCACGCATTTCCGTAAGTGCTTCATGCCTTTTTATGCTAAGCGCGAAATTATCTTCGTAGTCTACCTTTCCATCACGTTTATTCATCTTCTTCTCCTCCTTTCGCACTTGTTTAAACAATTCTTTTTCCTTCTCAGATTGTATAGTTACTTGACCACTGATGACGGGTCTATCAGCGTTGCAATTAACTTGTTTCTGTATATTGTTCTTTGGGACCGAGGCTATAATACTACCTTTATGTTGGATAAGGTATTCCATAAACTCCATGGATTCGAAACCCAAGAGACTGAGCAACTCGTCTTCTACATTTTCAGAATGTGCCAGTTTGTCGACTATGATCTCTTCTAATTTTGCTAGAGACAATTCCAATTGTCCATGTTTATTCTTCAAAAATTCATTATACCTCGCTTTGTCAAACTGAAATAAAAACACCATTGCAACTAAACTGTTTTCGTTACTCTGACGTTAATGCAAACTTAGTACGTACTCCGGACTTGGATGATTTTGCTATTTCATTTTTATATTTCATGGAAAAATTGTCTGCGCTTTGAAGCGTAGTTTCTACAGTCATACTACGAAGCTTATCAGTTTCCGGCCACAATACTCTCGCACGTTTGTATTCAAATTTAGGATGAAACAACATTTTCATTTCACCATTACTAACATTTTCTTTTCCATTTCTTATGAGTCTTAAAACATTTTCATCCAACTTTTCTTTTATTGCTGTGATCACCTATACGAACAACTTCATTTTTCTATGTCCATTTACTAAAATTTATAACGAAACCTAGTGCACTTACTTTTAACATATCTTTTGTATCTTCAAATGTTAAGTTTACTGCTTTTTGCTTTAGAATTGCATAGTGCCTTCTCAATACCAACTTTTCATCGATCAACAGTTGTATAGTGAACATTAAGAATTCATCTATGACCGGGGAAGGGCACTCTCCTAAAACAATAAGGAATAAGAAAATGTATCATTTCCTATTTCAGTATCTTTATGCATTACGTACCCAGTACTCTTTCAGCAATTTTCCACAGGTTCTTAAGATGAAACGAAGCATCAGTAGGTGTTTCTTTGGTCAAATCTTGCCAGGTAAACTCACTGCATAAGAAATACAATTTAGTAGTTCAATTAAATAAGTCAGATACTCTCATACAATCAATACCTTCTTATGTTAACATGTTCCTTCTCTTGTCTTCTGAGGAGATCATTTGGTTCCAGAAATGACGTACTTTTAATACGTCCGAGATCTGTGGACCACCGCAAGGATCTCGTGATCCGTGGTAATTCAGGCATCTTTCAATGATGATATATCAGTCCGATCTGTACAAATTTATGTTACATCAAACATCACATTATGTACATACAACAAAACTTTCGTTTCAACAATAAAACATAAACCGATCGTCTGATTATGTCGCGTGAGAATTGCAATCGTTAGACTGCACATTTTTATGCATTTATAAGAGACACAAAATTTGAGTATTGCACACCTTGCAGTGTGCAAGGATATATAAAGTATTGGAATCAATACGCCTGTTAGGATGCTTAATGAATTAAAGCAAAGGATAACTAAAATTTATTCTGCAACATTTTGCACAAAAATCTACAATCTAACAACTATTATCGTTAACCCTAAGATAAGATAAGCAAGATACTCATCATTTATCAATTATTATGATATACGTACACGATGTTATCTATAATGTAATTAATTGGATAATTGCAAGCAGTTTAAACAGTATAATGTTATATTTATTATTATGCACATCACGTTAGTTTCTTCGCATCAAAAACAATTGCGAACTGCTTCTTTTCTTACTATCTGCACGACTGTAACACACATACGTGTGTTTCGATTTTGAACGCACGCACGTATATACATGAGATCGGTTCAGATTTCTCATAAAATATGTGGAATTTAATTATACGTATTGAGATGGGGGAAAGACCGACAGGTTTTCGCACTTCATTGATTAAATATTTACCAAAAAACGAAACAGAACGATCAAACCTCCCGGGAATTTATGCAAAAAATAGTTGACCATGTTCGGATCGCGAAGCGGCCGCTAGTGACTGTTATTTTTGCCCAGGTATCAATACTGAAATTTATGAAAGAAACTTCGTTGTTGCTCCGCCGTGAAGGGACTTTTTTATTATTGAAGTACTTACAAAAAAGAATGTTTCTTTATTTCTGAGTTTTTACATGCAGAAAGTTTATTAGCAGCCATTTACTCGACGTACGAAATAATAAACTACTGCGACTCTGGTATGATACTGACACCGTTACATCGTTTCATCATGTTGCACCAGTGGAAATGACAGTGATGCTCGTCCGTGTATAAATTCGACCTCGATGACATATAAAAGAAATGTTTGATCGTGCTGGGAGCGAAGCGTTTTGTTCATTTTAATTACGACCAACCTGGACACAAATAATCCGCGAGAATTTAATGAATGAGGGCGAGGCAAGATATTTTGCGGTGGGTCGTCACTGGGGTTACTCCGACCCAGGTAGACCGAAAATCCGCCTTAATAAGAAGGTAAAGGACACATTTAATTAACATAATCGCCTTTTTTTCATTTCCCAATGCTCCCTAGTCAAAGATTAGAACAATATATATATCGCAGTACGTGTAAATGCTAATCTTGTTTCCAGCAGCTTAATCGTTGTGCAACACACTTTTCCGTTGACACCGTACAATAAAATGAATAATATAATTTTATTTAAAACACATGTATAAATATTATAACGTGTATATTAAAGCACAGTATTTTGTTACATTTGTTATTATTTAGCTTTTGATCAAGACTGCCAATGTAAGACTGAACTACTGATGCATGGAATGACCATTGTTAACATTAAATACGGACAGCATCAATGGGAAACTGTTTTTCGTGCTTTAAGGTGTCTCTTCCACCAGCCACTGCCACAAGATCCTCATCATTCGATTACAAAGACGGTAAATCAGTTTCGCGATACATTCTCTATTTAGCGATCGACAGTTCGCCTGATCGAGACGTATCATTGAGGATGTATTGTATAATCATGGATCAAATGTTCTTTTCAGAGACGATGGAGCTGAGAGGTTCGTTCTTAAATTCTTGTCAACAAACCGGGCCCTTAGTGCCTGAAACACATTTAAACGGAAACAGAAAATCAGTAACCGCATTATCAACATTCAACAATGTAGGGTCTGATAATTGTGGGTCCATGCCTATCGTACAAAGTAACATACGTTCGACGAGAGGATTTTACGCACGTTTGTCACCGTTGGCCAGATCCGGGACATCTTCTGGTCTAAACGCGGCTGCTGAATTGAAACAGCAAAAGGAACCATCAGAGAACAAGTTAAACAGTTTATTCGACCAATACAAGGTAAACTTTCGAATTACATTCAATTCTACGTTGTTCATACTCATCGTTTTACATGTTCTCATCTTTTAACACGGTTTCCTAGGATTCGCACGAAGACGTGATTTTAGCCGACGGTATAGAAAGATTATGCAACGATTTACAATTGTCGCCAGACGAGTTTAAAGTACTCGTCCTCGCGTGGAAGTTGAATGCTAAACAAATGTGCCAATTTACGCGTCAGGAATTCGTGGCAGGCTTGAAAGCGATGAAAGTAGACAGTATACGTGGTATACAGTCGCGATTACCGGAAGTCGTTCAGGATTTAACCATGAACGGTGATTTATTTAAGGATCTCTATCGATTTACATTCCGATTTGGTTTAGACGTGAACGCCGGCCAGAGGATATTGCCGGCTGACATGGCGATCGTCCTCTGGAAGCTCGTTTTTACTATACGCGAACCACCGCTTTTATTAAGATGGCTCAAATTCCTCGAATCCCATCACGTACGAGGTATACCCAGGGACACGTGGAACATGTTCTTAAACTTTGCTGAAAGCATTGGCGACGATCTGAGCATCTACGACGACGCGGAAGCGTGGCCAAGTCTGTTCGACGATTTTGTAGAATACGAGAACGATCAAATGAACCAAAACATCAGTAAGGACGATATTCTAAAGGATGTTGCTTCTATCGACAAAGCTTAATTAACGTTTTCAAACAGATTTGGGTTATGAACAGGTATTACTATTCTTATTACCGTACGGAATTATTTAAAACCACTTGACATCGATAAGGTAAGAGATAGCTGTCTTACGATATTTTTTTTATTTATTTGTTTATTTTATCGTTAAAGAGCAAGTGAGGGAAACGCGAAATGATATAACTATTTTACGAATATCCAAGCTATTTTCTCCGAAACGCGAGTCTAAAATTTTGCACGTCTAATAGGTAAGAGAGAAATTCTATATTCTAAATTTGTGATACGATACGTACGGGTATATACGGCTTTCGAGTATATACGCCGGTAGAGTCGAAAGATTTATTCAAATGTAATTACGTGTCACGGTGAAACGAATTGTATTAAGATTCTTGAAAAATTAGAATATCTTATTAGAATAGAATGCACACGTTACTGTTAAACAGTCTTGATCCTTCGTAATCGTAGTTGAAATACGATTTGGAATGGACGTTTATTTAAATTATGTTCCTATTTATTTCTCTTAAACGTCAGTAGCAGAAGCCTTGACCACGATGAAACGAATACAAAAAAAGATATATTTCGAATGAGATAAGATTCATTACATACACACACACACATATGTATATAGTGCCATGTCTTTCGAAAAGTACTAAAACAAAAATTATAAGAATTAGTGATAATTAATATATCATTGAACAAATGTAAGACTCATTGATATTTTTGCAAGAAAAGAAATGAGAAAAAAGATGCGCTATGTATTTATATTCGCGGTTTTGATTACTGCGAACGATCTTAAACTTCGTATATAGCTTTACGTTTAATCGATTGGCGATGGATGTTCGGAATGTCTCGTCGATATGCTTTAATACACATACATGTTCAGTGTCACCTCGTCTTCAACACTTATTTAAAGTACAATACTTAAAACAAGATGTAGTACGTCGCTTGCTCGGAGGGCCTTTCGACTTATTCCAGCCGCAACTAATACTTCTAAGTGACCATTCTTCCATTCTTTCGTACATATGTAAAGAATAAAAAATTGTAATACGCGCAGTATTCTTCCTTTTAATCATGTTCAGACAGTATTTCTAATAGATGAAGAAGGGGTCCTCTGCTGTTCAAGTACTGTCGACTTCATAAAATTACCTAAACGTGGATAAAAGTTAAGGTCAACAAACGCACACGTATTATTAATTTATTTCTACTAGAACTCATCGATAAGGGCTTAAATACCTACGTTTAAACCCTGGCTTACCGAAAATTAGCTTTATATAATACTTTTTTACCAGGTACACGCTTTTGTTGGAACATTTCGCTTAAATAGATTTTCGAACTAGTGTCAAGGTACATGTATTTGTTACTTTTATTGTGATAACGTCTAATTAGATCGAGCAATGTAAGAGTATTGTTGGAACGAAAGAATCATAGATTGTAATGAAAATGTGAAGAACCCGAGTGCGACAAATGTTTATAACTTTTACCAAATTCGTTTTTGGTTTTGTAACGAAAATACAAACGATATAGGAAAAACTAATATGGTGCATTTAATAAGGAGCTTGACGATGTGAATAAGTATAAGTTTTCATATTTTTACAACAGTCTAATGTCCACGATCTGATAACGTGTATTGATAAGTTTTATTATTAAATATAATTGATTCACTGATAGAATGTCAACGATGTTATTATCAATTTTGTATGTATATGCACATATTAATAATAATATAAAAATTGTGCATCGCTCGCAAATTTTCCAATGGTGGGAATCTTGCATTCCCTTTTCGCGCGATTTTCGACACTCGTCAATTTTGAAATCAAACCGTTGCACGTCGAACAACACGCCGTGTTCACGTTAGCGAACTTCGAGTTTTATCAGTCCAAGTTATTCTTATGCGATGGCTTTAAATTACTTCGAAAAATTAACAACTAAAGCTCGGGAGCTTGATAATGGTATTGAGAAATTGTCTATAACATGGGGGATGCCACAAGTATTGAGTCTAATCAATTCCATCGGAGAACGTACCGAGGACCTGGATTCTTACGTCGAAGATGTATGGGGCGTTTTAAATGACACACAGGTTTGTAAATGTTCACTAATTTCACTGCATCGTTCATTAACTATTCTACGATTTGTAAACGTTATTAGAACGATTTAAGAAAACTTCGGTCCGAAGCGGAGAATGAAAACGAAGAGGATTCTGTAGCACAAATCCTTGAAAGAGCCAGAGAGGAATATGCAATTTTAAAAGAGGAATGTGATAATTTGTATACTGTGTTCGCTGAGTACGGCTATCATTATGATTTAGATCAGTAAGTTCTAGCAGAGGAGAGGAAATCTACTATAATATTTAGTGTACATTAATAATTAATCGCCATTTTACAGAACAAATGGAAATGATAGTAAAAGTAATGAGCAGACTTTGATTGAAGGAACAGAAAATTTACAACTTGTAGAAAGTACTCCAGAATCTAACTCGAAGTTCGAAAAAAAGGGAACCAAGTTTATTCCAGGATCCGATGGCAGTTATAAATATGAAGCAAGTTTGACGCCATTTACGACGCCACTGGATAACAGTGTCACAACCACATATACTGACAATGACGGTGATGGTAGTTTCATTGCCCACCAAGATTATATCAGAGAGGATTATATGTTTACTCCTGGGGGTAGTCAACGTCCACCGGTACAAATTTACTCAAAACATTTTTATAATTTACTTAAGAAATAAATTTTAACAAAACTGTAAAATCTGTATATAAAAGTCTAATAATAATAAATTGTTTTTCTATAACAGAATATGTATTAGATATACACACAGAATAATAAGCTATTCCATTTTTATGTGTTAGTATACAGCTAGTAACAACGAAACTGAGCCAGCTATGTGCATGTGTTAGTTTCCCCTAGGGGACAAAATTCAAAACGAGTGTTAATAAGTGTACGTTTTATCTTTTCAATGCTCGATCAGGCGTTTATAGAATTGTAATTGTGATCGATACTGTTTGACACGTCAAAATAAAAACAATTTTAACCTACGTCTGGATAAATAGTTACTGATGTAATTTTATTTTGAAATTGAATGTAAAGGGAATGTGAAAATACAGG